TTCAACTACAAGTAGCACGAAGTAACGAGAGAAAAAGAGAGAATTAGCTACAGATATTCCTTTCCCCCTTAATGCTGTCTAAAATAGCAGCAACCAGACAGATTTGTGCAGGTTCCTACCCTGCTCACAGTGACGGCCATTCACTTGTTGATTTTTAAAACCTTGTTGACATGGAATTGTGAGGGAGAAAGTGCAAGATCCTGCTGCATGGTAAGCACTCAATAGTTACAGCAGCTTACGCCACCTACCACTCAGTGGTGCTTCAGGTAGGTGAGGAAAGGGAGCTGACGATGTCTTTCAGGTGAGGAGAATGCTGAACTGTGCCCAAGCAACCAAAATAAAACGATGAATGAACCAAAAAAGGCACAGATTAACCACTCACTGGCACATTTTCATTGCTGCTGTTTAAATTTATTCTCTGCAGAATAGTTTACTAGACCTTTTGTGTCCCAGGTGTTCACCATTATTATTACTGTCAGATACAGGCATCAAAACTAAGAAATCAATTATTGCCCTGCTGTGCATGGTCGTTCCACATTTCCTTTAAAAGAAAGGGAAAAAACAAACAAACAACAAAACAGATTATTTAAAAGCAGTATCTTCTTCAAAGGTGAACTCCGAAGTGGAAGTTGAACCATGTCCAGAAGTATGGTCAGGTGTTGCTCAAGTTAGACATGAGGTTTTGCACAAACCTGAGTTGCAAAGGAGCACAGTGCTCATCCAGTTCAATCCCCTGCTGTGTGCAGGTCGCCAACCAGCAGACCAGGCTGCCCAGAGCCACATCCAGCCTGGCCTGGAATGCCTGCAGGGATGGGGCATCCACAGCCTCCTTGGGCAACCTGTTCCTTTCCTTTTCATGACAGGGTCTATTGCAGAGATGAGCTGAGTGTATGGTGACTCAAGTCCTCTACTGCTAAAAGCTTTTACCAAAATACGTGAGGCGCTGGGATAGTAATGGATGCTACAGATCAAAATTAATAAATGCTAGAGATGGCAATGTGTTCCCCGATTTACCTCATGAGCATCTCTCATCTTGAGATTCTATAATTTGGATTTTTTTTCTCCTTCAGTAACTGTCTGTTTATCTGTTCTTTTACAGGGAAATCTGGGCTCGGTTTCTAGCTTTTGAAAGCAACATTGGTGACCTTGCCAGTATCCTCAAAGTTGAAAAACGGAGGTTTACAGCATTCAAGGAAGAATACGAGGGTAAAGAAACAGCTCTGCTTGTAGACAGGTATAAGTTCATGGACTTGTACCCTTGCTCTGCAAGTGAGCTTAAGGCGCTTGGTTATAAGGTAAGTAAGTGGGTAATGCCTCCTTTTACTGTTACTGGTTTCAGTCATAGCAAACTTGAGCGGTTCCTTCTTTAGCGCTTGTTTTTTTTCCTGGTAGAATCTTCCTCCTTTGTTTCAATTGTAAATGATAATTAAAGTGCTTCAGTGCCGCTTTTTGGAATTTAAATTTGAGGCCAGAAGCCTGTGCCTAGTGGTCTCCCATCACATTTCTGACCACATCTATTTAAGTGGTGCATGAGTCCCCTGCCAGTCCATAGAGCTTTGGAAGTCGGTAAGATGGGAGTTGTGTGTTAATAGACTGCCAGAGGCAGAAACAGCTCTGCTGGAGAAACTGCTCTTTCCCTTATATAAGTAGGAGCAGAACCTTCAGCTCCTATCTCCAAACAAGTGCCTCAACTTCCTTTTATTTCTTATATAGATAAGTGGTTTCTGAGGAGAAGAAAAGGTCAGTGAAGTTAGCAAAACAGCCCAACTGTTGGGCTTCACAATCTTAAAGTGATCTGATAGGTGGGAACGAGTCACAGTGAGCCATTGAATGTTTTTGTCTTAAGGCATTGCAACAGAGATATTTTGAAGTCACAGGTGTGTTTGAGAGAGCGTAGGTCTGAGGTGTACCTAAGACTATTCAGGCCAGGAGCTGGTTTGGTTTCTTGTGACATACCATAATAGAATCACTTGAAGTGATGCACGTGAACTGCCATACAATTCGTTTATTTTCCAGCTAGAGCAAGCCAGAGAATGAAATGAGGGAGAAATGGTCATTGTGAAGCTTAATGGTCTGCACCTGTTCACCTAAATCTTCTCAACCTAAAAATGGTGCCATTCAAAAATGCTAAATACGGCTCCATTCTGAAACAAAACCACGTGTTTCCATTCCCAGCTGAACAGTCCCACTGTAGGACTGCAGTGTGTGATGACAATATGCAAGCTTTACCCAGATGGTCTTCTAAGAGGGCAGCTGTTGTTGTCATTATGATAAAGCGAGAAGAAATGAGTGGTCCAGAGAGATGTTTTGTTCTGCAGTTTAGACAACGTGGTAATGCCAAGTTCAGTGCTGTCTTGTTGGCTCTCACAGGACGTCTCCCGTGCCAAGCTGGCAGCTATAATCCCAGACCCCGTGGTCGCGCCGTCCATTGTGCCTGTTCTCAAAGATGAAGTTGACAGAAAACCCGAATATCCCAAACCAGACACCCAGCAGATGATTCCATTTCAGCCACGACACTTAGCACGTAAGTCAGAAGTTCAGTCCGCGGTGGCTGTGGTTTACACAGCAACAGGCTATTAGCTGGGGTGCTCAGCAAACCTAATCACACAGACTGCCTCAGTCACACAGATCTGTTCTTAAATGTTAGGCTTTGCTTAAGTGGAGTGCTAAGGGTATGCGTGTATGTTTTACCCACATCTAAGGTCACATGAAAATAAGTACAAGTAGATTTTGTGTCTGGCAAGTGGTAATAACCTGTTGCATACACTGCTCATAGACTTTAGGTCAGTAACTCAACCATATGTAATTAGGCAAAAGTAACAGAGTAGTAATTATCCGCACCTAATAATAGAGCTGTTAAAGCAATACAAGGCTTGCTGTCTTGCACTGGATTCACATACTTTTTCTTCCCACAGCTCCAGGTTTACATCCTGTACCAGGAGGTGTATTTCCTGTTCCACCAGCAGCTGTCGTCCTAATGAAGCTCCTGCCACCTCCTATTTGTTTTCAGGTGAGCTCTGAAAGCTTAAATTTGTAGAAGCTGTTCTAATTTGACAGAACCACATTATTTACGAACTCTATTTGAAATATCTCTTTTTTTATTTTTTTTTTTTAAACAAAACAGGGTCCCTTTGTTCAAGTGGATGAGCTCATGGAGATATTCAGAAGATGCAAACTGCCAGACAGTAAGTCAAGTTGTTTGTTCACTCTGCCGTCTGTGGTAGTGCGTATGATTCACTTTACATATGGATATTACTGTCTAAAACTCAGGCCTCCTGTATAGCTGCAGATGTATAATTATTATTTAAGAGCATATTGTTGAGTTGGCTGTGGTTGTAGGCTGGGATCAATCTAGAGACGTTTGTTCAACTGTGCAGGAAATCAACATGAAGTTAAAAAAAAAAAAGCTGAAAATCACCAGCTGCTGCTTCAGTAACATTTCGGTGGTAAACATTAAAAGAAAGTAAGGTTTTCAGAACACCCCTTCAAAGAAGAAGGCAGTACATGTAGCAGCATAATAACTGTAATTAATTAAATTACAAATTTGCAGCGTGGTTACGGATTACCTAGCAGCAAGATATTAAGGAAATGCTAAATGCATTTAGCAAACTTCGTTAGAGAAAATTCCAAGTCTTTGGTCATCTGACTTTGTGCCTTGGTCGACGTAACTCTGCCTGCACACTGAAGCAGTGCTTGAGGACAATTCCAGAACAATGTTTTCTTAGCTCCTACAGTGAAGGTAGAGTTCTGGCATGTACAAAGAGGACAGGTCTGTACGCTGGGCTTCCATGGGAGATGACTCACGTGGTGCTTTTCATTCCTCTGCTGGCTGAAGAAGCAAATGATCAAAGAGAAAGCCAGGATTTGCTTTCCGTTAGAAGGAAAATAAAACTCCTACTTAAATTATATACGGTATTTTGGAAGTTTTCTCTGTTCTTAACCAGAAACTGGCTTGCTGTGCATACTTGCTGCTGAGTCATGAACTAGGGCTAGCATTGCCCCAGTAGGCCCTGCTATTTTATTAAGCTTCCAAGCTGACCTCAGTATGTGGATGTGGAGCTCGAGCCGATGCAGCAGCATTTACTTCATAAGCAGTGCCTGCAACAGCTCCAAGTTTTAGACAGTTGAGACTTAATTCTTCAGATGTTTGCTTGCTTGTTCTGCAGATGTTGTGTTCCTGAAAGCTCCAGAATGACTGTGTCTTGGTGTCCCCGCTGGCACGATTATTAATCTTTATTCCAAAAGCAGGATTGTAACTGTACTCAGCTTTGCTGAAACAGCTTTCTAATCACAAATTTAATCACTTTCTCAAGCTGTTGATGAAGCTGTACGGATAATTACCGGAGGCCTACCTGAAATAGCTGTGGAAGGCAATGGACCTGTGGAAAACAATGCTATGCTCAATAAGGCTGTCAAGAGATCAAACGAGGATTCTGACGACGATGAGGAGAAAGGCTCAGTAGTTCCCCCTGTACACGACATTTACAGAGCACGACAACAAAAGAGAATCCGGTGAAACAAGCTTGGAGTTCTACTGTGACAAGGACTTGCGTTGAGTTTGTCAGTCTCTTAAATGTAACGCATTTAAAAGGGACAGCTGCAAAGAAAAAAAATCTTGAAAATGGTTTTGTTACTGTGGTGCCTCTCTTCTGTATGGTTCTTGACCCAAAAACAGACAGAACAATCTTAGAATGTGCTCTGAACAAAACTAGGTTTTCAGAACCAAAAGTGCAAAATGTCTAACTGCATTTTGTTCAAGGGTGTTCACATCTACCACTTGAAATCTTGTGGGTTTTCAGCAGTTTTATTTTAAAAACTGGACGGCTTATAATTGTGAAGCATTTTTAATTCACATTTTCTGGAAGACAGTTGTTCTCAGCTTTGTCCATGTAGTGTCCTGCCTTACCGGTCGTTTTTATTTATGGCAGAATGTTTGGAATCTGTTTTGTAGTTGAAAGTGGGAGAAAACATTCCTTTAAAATAAAAGGATATCGATAACATCATGCCTCATTCTGCTTTTATTCAAACACAACAAATTACTTTTTAAATACTACTCAGCAACTTTGAAAGCAATGTTACCAAGAATTAAAACCATCACAGGAAATTGATCAGAGCGTACATACAGGAATTAGCTTTCTGTTCAGTTTCTCTAGAGGAAACAGTATTCCTTTACTTTGAATTCCAGGACTGTTTAAAGAAGTTACCAATGTAACACAGACCAGTTACAGGTCTGTAATGTGGGCTGGCCAGGAGTACTAGCCACTGCAGCCTGTTCCTGGACACCTGCATTAGTCCTCCACTTAGCTTGCACATGATTAAGTGTTAATATATTAGCTACTGAGGTTAACTGGTTACTTTTAAACGAGCTCATAAAAAAAGAAAAGCCATATGAACTTTTGAAGCAGTTACTATATATACTTTAGATTTTAACTTGTAATGGACTATTCAGGACTGTGCTCTCCTGAGACTGTAAGAACACCCACGATGGACAGGGAATTCAGGTACCCAGACAAGCTGAAGGACATTCCCACCACCAGCAGTAGAGATAACTGTAGGTCATTGCTCCTATCTACCAGAAAGAAAAGATGGAACAGCGCATGTATGAATACTGACATAGAGGTAAGGTACAGCAGCCATATCAATCCTACCTTTTCTTTTTTGCTCTGTCACTTAATTACATCTGCCTATTGCTTTTAAAGACAATGCAGAGAAACTATCTGTCAATGATAATCATTAAACAATGACCAGGGAAAAGTCACTAACGTGATTTTTCGTGGGAACCTCTTCCAGTCTCTTTTAGATCTTTTCCAGTGGCCAGGCCTACAGAAGCTTAAAGAAACAGAGGCACTCCAGGTTTCCAGTGTGTAACCCCCAAAGGCAAGCCCAGAGCCAGGTGTGAGCATTGCATTTTTTCCTACGCTAAGCCCAGGACAGATCCCTACTGAGAGAAGAGATGAACTTACTGGATATACCCTGTGAGCAGTACACGTGCATGAGCAGCAGCACAGTCTGTGCTCCCACGTCACAGCAGGCTGGAGTAGGCAGTCACAGGCTGGGAGCACTCCGGTAAGTACCACCTTACCTGCCCATAACTCAGTCCCACTCATTCTGCCATCAGTCACGTGCTTTTCTAAACACTGTGCTGTTCTTCCCTGCATCCCTGAGACCAGCACCTCACAACATCCAACTGCTTGTCCTATGCTTAGTTTGGAGGCCTTTAAAAGAAGCCTCTGGGGAATAGTAAAACAACAGCATTCGGTTCTAAACTTCAGCAACTCTCAATTACAAAAAGGAAAACAGGTTTTTCTGTTTTGTATTGTTTTTTAAACTGCAAACATGCTTTGAGTAGTTCCTTTATTACCCAGACTACTGAATTAATTTTTTTGCAGCTCCAGAGCTAGAGACTGTATTTCAAGATGGATTCCGGACTAATAACAAAGTACAGTAAGGAGCTGCAGAAACCTTGAAGACCTCTGTAGTATCCTGACTGCTGATGATGTTGATGATATTGCTGATGATACGAAGTTGGGAGGATTGGCTGACACGCCTGAAGGCTGTGCTGCCATTCAGCAAGACCTGGACAGGCTGGAGAGCTGGGCAAGAAAAAACCAGATGAGGTTTAACAAAAGCAAGTGTAGAGTCTTGCATCTGGGGAGGTATAATTGCATGCACCAGTACAGGTTGGGGGATGAGCTGCTGGAGGGGAGCTCTGCGGAAAGGGACCTGGGTGTCCTGGTGGATGACAGGTCGGCCATGAGCCAGCAGTGTGCCCTTGTGGCCAAGAGGGCCAATGGCATCCTGGGGTGCATTAAAAAGAGCGTGGCCAGCAGGTCGAGGGAGGTGATCCTCCCCCTCTACTCTGCCCTGGTGAGGCCTCATCTGGAGCACTGCATCCAGTTCTGGGCTCCCCAGTACAAAAAAGACAGGGATCTCTTGGAAAGAGTCCAGCGGAGGGCCACAAAAATGGTGAAGGGCCTGGAGCATCTCTGCTATGAGGAAAGGCTGAGTGAACTGGGTCTGTTCAGCCTTGAGAAAAGGAGACTGAGAGGGGACCTGATCCAGGTCTATAAATATCTAAGGTGTGGGGGGCAGAATGGCGAGGCCAGACTGTTTTCAGTGGTGAGTGGAGACAGGACAAGGGGAAACGGCTGGAAACTGCAGCATAGGAAGTTGTGCACCAATGTGCACAAGAACTTCTTTACAGTGAGGTGACGGAGCACTGGAACAGGCTGCCCAGGGAGGTGGTGGAGTCTCCTTCTCTGGAGATGTTCCAGACCTGCCTGGATGCCGACCTGTGCGACCTGCTGTAGGGAACCTGCTTTGGCAGGGGGTTGGACTCGATCTCTGGAGGTCCCTTCCAACCCCTACAACTCTGTGATTCTGTGATCCTGTGACCATATCAAAAACCCACTCTACTTTTTGTTGGCTAACCAACCTACTCCCTTTTGAGCTACCAAAGACATCCACACTGCTATTTGAGTAAACTTGGCCAAGGGAAAAGTGATCTTTTACTCAAGTTTCACTGTTAGGGTTTTTTTCCCCCTTGGGAAATGCAGGGTTGTAATGAGTGAGAAAAAACCCACATTATAGTTGCAGAGGCTAATACAGAACAAAAGCTCTTGCTTAACCCCTCTGCCTCTGAACTCACAGCAGTTTCAGCCTGCTGACATTCAGGAGAAAGCCAGCAAAGAAAGCATCAACACTGATTCCCAACCAAGCGCTTTCTTTTAGATGGGCTGTTATGTTGGTTGATTAGTTGATTAATGAAATGAACCTGGATGTCAGCAATAAGAGGGCCATGTATTCATTTCACATCACTGGTTTTGGTGGTTTTTTTGTTTTTTTGGTTTTTTTTTTAGAGAAAACAACATTTTGGGTACAGTCTAGTGTTTTGGACACTTACTGTTTATAATTATGAACTTAGTAATCAAAATTTGATGAATTTATGAAAACAATAATGGAGCTCAAGAGCTAGAGGAAAACTTGAACTGCACTTACCTCCTAGCTGAGCTTAAAACTGCAATAAGGCTGCAAGATCACTGAGCTCTTCTGTGAACCCTCATCTATACAACACATAACTAATGAAATTCAAGACCTTCAATATTTAAGGTTTTAAAATCACCTCTGTAATGTAAAAAAGAATAAAATCTTCTATTGAAAACATTCATTGCGTATTCAAACTAATATTAAATAATGCACTTCCCACTACAATTTAAATTCACTCGCACTTTAATTAGTGCTCTGCACCTCCTGGATATCCTTGAAGACATGACTGAAAACGCAGCCATCTCAAGTAGTAGTTTTAAAAAACAAGTAGAACTTTTGTCCTAAAGTTTAACACACTTAAAGTCCACCTTCTGTAAATGGCACAGATTAACTTCAAAATCAGTATTTCACATAAAAACTACTAGCAAAAAAAAGGTAAGAAACGCCACTTTTATCAAAACATTTCAGCTCTGCCTTTCTGAAGTCTTTACAGGAGATAAATACAGCTGCAATCTGTAAGATTGCCACCTTGTTAAGTACTGTACAAAGCAGAGGACAGTTACCCAATAACCAGAAAATTTGCTACAAAAATACACTCTGTTTCTGTAACATCTGCAGGTAAACAGCAAAAAAAAAGCTATTAAAAATGCAGAAAAATGCTGAAAGAAAAACTTAGTAGCCTACCACACCAACCATAATGATACAGTAAGTGCTGTTTGGCTTTGTCTTTCGCCTGTTAAGGTTTCTCCTACCTAGAGTTTTAGCTTACTGAAGTCTTTAAAGTAAGATCTTTTTGTAAAGCCACATTTCCCTGCAGGGAAGGACCACTGCTAACCTGCTGTGGATGAGCAAAACCAAATTCACGACAAATGAGAATAAAAAACACTAAAATGAACCACTTAAGAACAGAGTTTGGCTGTTTAACTTTTCCTACATAGCACCTGCCTGGAAATCTTATAGCCAGAAAACTACCACAACACTCCCTCACAGAAGTTGCATACTTACATTAAAAATGTATCCCTCCTTCATCACTTATCTCAGAACCCCTATTGCAATTCACGCATTTTCCTCATCGGGCAGCATGAGTGACTTAAAAGGAAATAGTATTGACATGGAGAGCTGTTTTCCTAGACAAATACGGGTGCAATTTTTCAAAATAGCTGATGAAATTAATACTGCATTGGTACACAAACTGTGCTCACGATTCCTCCGGCACCCCGACAAGCTGGGGTTCTTCCTTAGTCAGTATTTTGCCAAGAACAGCATCGTAGTAAGGACTGAAGACCATCTTGTTGTAGTTGACAAGACGAACATACTTGACAGCAATCTCTTCCAGCTCTCTCTGAATAGGGCCTAATCCTCCAGGAACAGTCGGTACCGCTTTCTGGTGACCAGATGCAAGACAATTCTCCAGAAACTTCTGAATTCGAGAATCTGGAAAAGTTAGGCCAAGAGTTTTGGTTTGTCTTCAGAAGAGACAGACAGCTAGAAAGATTCTAATCTCATGTAAAACACAGAGCACAGCAAGCACATACTTGAAATAAATTAAAATAGAAACCATGCATGATGTGCCACTAACAGTTTTATAAATAGAGACACTTTGTCATGTGAGAACTGAGTATTTTTGTCAAAGCATACCTATTAGTTTACAGATGGTGTTATCAGGGTTGGCCACTGCTTGGATCTGTCCTTTCAGCACAGTCTCTTTCTCAGCTGTGAACGGTGCAAAGCCATGCTGGGAAAGGCAGCCGTTGACTTCAGCACACACCTTCTCACCAATGGTGGCCAAAGACTCCTTCAGGTTAAAGGAGCTACGGAATGTGGAGTAGAGCACTGCTTAGCTACTGGAGTTGTTCACACTTTCCCCATCTTTTGAAAATAAAGTATCCAATTACAGTTGTCTTATTTATCGAACATAGTGGAAGAAAAGTAATCCAGATAATGTGAGAATAATAAAGTAAATTTTATGGACATGAAAGTCACGTTCAGCTGTAACACAAGGGGATGGGATAGCATTAAAAGAAAACCTTCAGCCTGTGCAATCCATACACGTATGAGCTGATTTTCAGTCTACAGCCATCTCAGAGCAACATGAAGAATAAGTGTCAACCCACAATGTGCACAGCAACCTCAGTCTGGGGGCAGCTAATTTGTGCCATTTGTCTCGATGGAGCCCAGCCAAAACTGTGAGCAGAGTTTGCTGCTTGTACACACGCAGCTCTAAAGCCATTAGTTACTACTCCTACTTATCCACGATACCAGTTATTGACATGCATTTTACTTACTGCATTAAGCAGAACATCTAGAACAATATTAACACTGCACAGCTACAGGAAATCAGCTCTATGCTGGTATGGTCAGTAACGCGATGTTAAAAAATGAGCATGCCCTACCAAAAAGCTGGCTCTGGATCAGTAAGATAAATAAAAACTGTCAGCCTCAGCTAATAAGAAGCCCCCATCACTTCCTCTGTGTATTGCACTCCGTAACCAGAGCGAGGCTGAAACTGATCGTTTGGTGGAGCCATCATAAACTGCAGCTGACCGTGTGAACAGGGCTACTCAGTACTCACGGGAGATGCATTCCTGTCAGCAGCACCCTGACAATGGTTTTGATTTTCTCAGCAAATCCAGGCACATCGATGAGGGCTGCGCCCGCTGCATTGAACGTGACCAGAAGGACAGTCCCAGCCATGAGGAGCTGCTCCAGTTCCAGCTGTATTTCCTGAAAGCGCCTCTGGTCCATCAGCACTGTCTGCAGAGAACAGGAAAGCCAGCACAGGATGAGATCTGTACACTAGGCTGTGAAATGAAATGGAGATGCCAGCTAGGATAATTCAGGTAACTCTAAGACCTTAACTCTTTCTCAGTATCTGCCAAAAGCAAATATCCAAAAGAAAGTCTCATTCTATTTAGGTAAGATGTCTAGTGAATAAGACAGTAATCAAAACTACGTACTAGGCTGAGTAAAGTTCAGCACAGAAGGCTCTGAAGATGGTACTGGTTAGTCTTTAGCTGTCCCTTCCAGTCCAAATTATCTCTGATCTGATCCTATGGATATAGTGTGGATTATGACTAGCTCTTCTCCACGAGGTTGGAAATACAAACATGCATTTTAATATGTAATGCACAATACTACTCTATAGATACATCGCAATATTCTGCTTTATGATACCAAACACTGGTCTGTTTGACCAAATCAGACTCCATTGGACATGCTGACACAGTGACCAGGCTCAAACACTTTGGAGAGAGCTGCAAGAAATTCACTAACAAACCATCACCAAAAGAAGTCCTGAGGAAAGGAAGAGCACTGCTCACGTTACAGATGTGCAAAATGAAGGCAGCTCGACAAGACCAGTGGTGTGCTCTCACACAGCTATTGCATTAATTCTCAAGAAAAATGAAAGTTTTAACAGTGCCAATATCCCAGCCTACAACTACTGAGTTTGTGGTTGCAAGCAAGTTTTAATCTGACAAATCCTGAAAATTCATATTGGTAAGAAACATTACGTGTTGAATAGTCTGAATTGGAATGCCTACACAAGCCTCTCAAATGGATTTAAAGGAACACAAAGATGATAAACTTTTCTGCCTTGTTGTTCCTATAAACAAGGAGCTGTTTATTTTTTCCCACCATGAGTTCCTGGCCCTTCTGCTCCAAAAAAAGACACGTGATCTCAGGAAATACCACATCCTACTGAATAACAGCCACCTTTGCTTTCTCCGTGACAATGTGAAATAGACACAGCAGCCCCGATTCCAAGGGGGGCTGGAAAGTCTCTGAACCCAGATCTAACTTCTACAGCACAAAGAGGAACAGCTGAATGATGATAAAGCACGGAAGAACCAACTTCTGTATCAGAGTTTGGAAACTATGACAGATGCTGGACCAGGAGGAACAGCTACCAAAACAACAGTTTCTGTATTCTCTGACTAACTGAAAGTCATTTACTCAAGGACTCCCTTAAACATTTTGTTTTGTCAGTTATTGTATTCCAGAGACGATGTCGTTAACAAGACCATTCACATTCAAAGGAGAGCTGAGGGCTGCAGGCATGGAGGAAGTATAGCCCAACTCCAGGCAATCCTGGGACACCCAGTTCTGCCCTACCTCAGGCAACTTCCATGAATTAATAAGCTGGAGACACAGACACAGAAAAGAGCAGCAGCTACTCAGCAGGCAAATATCAGGAACAAAAGGGAAACAACTGTTTCTTTTTCAACTGAGTACTGAAAAAGAAATACCACAAGAACTTTCAATCAAGAGATCAATGTTTTAGTGCTGTAATTTCAGTTGGCTACATTCCAAGAGCAGAAAGGTAGTAGAACAAGCATGGAAATCATTTTTCTTGTTAGATACCTACTTCTGGGAAAGGCCTGTTTGTGTGATCCCACTTCAGCAGCTTCAGATATGCCTGATTCTGTATGGCAGTGGAGCACAACGCAGCAGCTCCACCAGCAGCACCAACAGCACTGCTGGGGGGAGGTAACTTTTTATGTCTCAGCTTTGCAAGATCATCTGCTGCTTCCTGCAACCAGTCTGTGACAAGGTCTAAAGAATCTGTAGGAGACAAAAAGTCTCGTTAAGGAAATTCCTTGTCAAAGTTAGGTTTTTTTTCTATCACTAGTTTCCAGATAAAGCCATTAGTTACTACTTCTAATTATCCATGATACCAGTTGTTGACATGCATTTTATTTTCTGCATTAAGCAGAACATCTAAAACAATATTAACACTGCACAGCTACACGAAATCAGAAGTGAGAAGATGCTATGATGCCCCTCATCAACCGAAACAAAACTAATGGCCACGTGCTAAGTGCAGATATATTGTTTCTGTATATTTTTCTCAAACCTCAGTTTCGGGGCACAAGGTGTCATTTACCACATGAATTATATCAAAATTAATGTGAAATCTGATTTATTTCTATGATCTACAAGCAAAGACACACCATGTACTGAGAGGTCAGAGGGGAAGAAAGAAAGAAACAAAGTCATACTTGGCTGTTTCTCAAGAAACTCCTGAAACTTCTTTCTTTCATATTCAGCAGACTGCTGCATTAATTTTGGTCTAATACTAGTGATAGCGAAGTTTGCCATATCCATTTTCATTAGGTCTAACACAGAGAAAATTGCTCTAAACAAACAAACAGAAAAAGTTATTCAAGGCTGCAGAAGTGCAAGAGGTTATTTGTACAAGATTTATTGCAGATTGCCTAAGGAAAGAACAAAAACACGCGTGGGAAACGTTAACAGGATGGTTAATTTCAGAGACAGAAAAAAAAAGCTTGAGCAAGCATGCACACACATGCATCTCCCAAATACAAAATAAAACTTGTTCTCCTGAAGAAAGGTCCCCACAGAATTAACTTCACTAGCCCCATAGGATAAATTCCCCAAATTTTACAATGTAAAGCTGAACAGACAGAAAGATGTCTGAGTTTCCAAGCTTGCATACTATCTGTTGGCTGCCTATATAGCCAACCTCAGTTGCTCAGGGAAGCAAGTAATTAGACCCAAGGAAAACAAAACCAAAGCCTCTTCTTTCAAAGCAACATGCCTCCTGCTAGTAGCGATTCTGCCAAGTCAAACCTTAACTCTCGGAAGGTCATCAAATTAGAAAACAAGGTTAATAAGATCTCCTCAAACTCGAGCTATTCAGCTGAGAACACAGTGATGAAGCAGAAACCTCAATGCTCCTAAGCCCAGGATGTATGCCCCTGGTAGAACTAAAAGCATATTATACTGGGGGGAGACAGCTCAAACTGAGGGGAAAGGAAGAACTGGCTAAAGAACAGTGATATGTACCCCCTATTCCTGCAACTGCTTTTTCTTCCCCTCCTGCTGTTGATAATAAATCCTGATACAAACAAACTGCTCACCTGTTATCTGATAGTTTACACACATTTGGCATTTAGAAAACACCCTTTGCTAACAGGCTGGAGCCACACAAATACAATTCACCCCAACAGGAAGGGTCTGTGTTAAAAACTTCTGGAACATCTCTCCCCCATCACACCCATGGCCACATCCCTGCACAGCTCTTTCATTTCTATGAAGATCTGCAGGTTGCCCTGGTGCAAACACCCCCACACCACACATCTCTATAATTATTTAAAGGACACTCAGTATGACAGTATGTACCATTTCAGTACCTGAAGAGAGGAACTATTTCACGTATATCTTTCAGTTTCTTAATTTCTTCATCTCGAGCTGGAGCACAGAGAGTCCCCATCATTCCAATAACAAATTCTATCAACTTAGCAATGTCCAGAGCCCCATTTTCGGCCTCCTGTTTTATCAAATCCAGATCAAGAACTTCCATAATCTGGTTTCTTAATCTTGTATGACCAGGAAATAAAAAAGACAGAAGATTCTGAAACAGAAAGTTTTGAACAGTGTATTAGTTCTCAGTGTCACACAGCAGGGATCAAAGCAGTAATTGCACCACTTGTCATTTAAACTTACTGCCATCTGAGAGCAGAATTGCACTTTTCTGAACAAGGCCACGAAGCCATTTGTCAGCTCCAAATTCAAATGTCTCCCCTCACTCTTTGTGACACGAAGTCACTAAGTGCTAAGTGCTTTGTAGTACTGATCACACTTCAGACTATTGCACCTGGCTCTGTCCACTCAGTGCTGGGACATCTCAGTGATTCCATACCCAACATGACTGTCATAACATGGAGGAAACCTGGAAGTATGAAACCTACCTTGATTCATTTTACATGCTTTCCCATTTGTTTGCACATTCAAGTCGCTCTCCTCAGCTCACACAACTTAATTACGTGCAGAGAAAATCAGACAGTAGTGAAAACAATCAAGAGCCTCCTTTATGAACAACCAAGACTTCTAACTCCTTTTGCCCATTCCCATCAACCCATCTATAAAAACTCAATGATTTACTTTGGTAGCATGTGACCTTACCTCTTTAATTTCTCCCAACAGTTTAATTGCGTGGTCGTATGTCGGTGGCTCTTCCTTCAGCTGAGCTTCCAGACAATCCCAGAAAACTTTGTGCACAATCTCCCTTACTTTTTTTTCCAAGCTGTGATAAATAAGACCAGTTCAAAATAACTGTATTAGTGTCTGCACCACCACATGCAGGTACCTGCAGCTCCCGAAGAACAGCATGCAGTAATGTGAAGATAATGTAATGGTGACTACCTGAGGACTGACAGAGAAGAAAACTATCATTTTGTCACTCAGGCAAGATAAAGTAGGCACAAAATTTGGCACGGCTCATACCCTAATAAATGGTTAGACACAAGCAAAGAAGGCTACCAATTAAAATCCTTGAAAGTACCTCTGAAGTATAGCGCTGGAATACTAATAAAAACAGATAAAAATTATTCCTCATCTTCAGAAGGACAGTATTAACATTCCTTTGACTAAGGAAAATTAATTAAGGAAACATAACAGAAATGAAGCAACTTCTGTGACATGAAAGCTTTTGCACTTCAACACATAAATACGGCCATTACCCCGAGCTAAAGCCTGCGTTCAGTTCCTATAAACAACAAATGAATTCCAACTGCTTTCTCCTCAAACCACTTCCCTACACAAACATTCAAGCTGTGGGAGACTCAAATTATACAAACACAACAAAGCCATTATTCCAAGGAAGATTCCAGAGTGCCTCTTCAGCCAAAACTTTCACTGAACAGAGGGATCTTGTACTAGGAGCAGTCCTGGATCACTACACTGAGGCACTCTTTGTAAGATGATCTCTGCAATATATCTGTTCCTTTGATCTGGTGAAGAGATGCAAATCTGACACTGTGCTGAACAACTGCAGCCACTGTTCAGAATCTGTGAGAAAAGCAACCAAGTTACTGAAGGACTGGGTTGGTTCTCTCCCTCTCACCCCTCTTTTTTAAGGGAGGTGGAGAGAAGAACACATGGAAAGAAGAAAATTTGTTTAAAATTCTTCTCCCCTGAAAAATCTTGAAATAAATTTCATGGTATTTCATGGTATTGAGGCATACCAGAAAACTTAGGCACCAACACTGCACTTTTTCAAGTGAGAAAACCATAAGAAGGAACAAGGAATAAAAGCAGACACTGAATTGAAAAGCACTGCTTTAACTGTGACATTTTACATCAAGCATTCATCGTCAGCCATCACATACGAGCAGAAGACACCTGTCAGGAATCCCCCCAAAAGATGCTGAGACAGAAGACAACACAAAACAGGGAGCTCTGCAGGCCTTAGGTATGCTTTCCAAACACTTCCATCATAGAGAGAGGTGCCAGCTCATGGGACCATGCATGAATTGTACACAACCTGTATGAAATGTGACAAACAGTGACTGGACAACAGTGCCTGAGTCTGTGATGGTGCTGAGAGCACAGAGCAAATCGGTGCCTGAACTCTAAAATACGAGAGTCTCTCAAAAGTGGAGTAGCTTGCACACTCATAGACAATGCTGTTCCAGTGGTCCAAGTCTCTCCCAGTAAAAACACCCTCACTTTCACAAATTAACCCAAGAAACACACTGTCAGCCACATCTCTCTGTATGGGGAGAAAAACAAAGCAAACAAAAAAAGCCAAACACAACAGAACAGCAGACAAAGCATCTGTCAATAGGACTGGGTTTGCTGCACTGGGCAGTCTGGGACCAGACATGAAAGCCACTTCTGTTCTGCCTCTCTTAATGGGGGACAGGACTACTGCAGGTCAGACAGGAGGAAAGACTCCAGACTAAAAAGGAATAAGGTCTAATCTAATAAAATACAGAAGTCTCTTCAAAATACATAGATGTGTATCCCTGGAGAAACAGACATTAGATTCAAAAAAAAAAAAAAAAGCAAAGCTAAAATGATCAGTTTCATCTTATTCCCACCTGCAGGGAAAGCTTAAGTGATGCTAAGAGCACTACCTGCGCCTGCAGCTAGACTTGCATATTTCAAAGTCTGCAGCTTCAGGCTCCCAGGATAAGGGGACACTGGCAGAAACCATACTGCAATTTCCACAAAACATGCCCCAGCAATTACTGAGGAGTTTCACTTTCCACATTCACACATTCCTGAGGAAACAGGACTGCATGCTTACCTTCTTATGCTTCTTCCTACATCTTCCCTAGCAGGCACTGTTGGGCAGAACTAGCCAGAGCCTTTATTTCATCCACTAGAGTTATTCCAAAGTTACACAAATGAGAATTGATTTAATATATCTACTTGGTAGCAATCTTACCTGTGTTCTGGTAACTCAGCTGGCTTGATCTGGAAGTCTCTATCAACAACAATCTCGTGTACTAGGGCCATGTTGGTTACTCCCTTAGCTGTTTCCATTAACTCTTCCACTGACACGGGCCGAGGAGGGCTAGCTACAACACACATTAAAGTGTCAGACAATTATCTAGGGAAATCTGCAGAGAAGAGCCTGCTGATAACAACATCTGAAGAAACAAACAAAAAGCCCCAAAATATTTATTTTGAATTGCTTAACTGCATCTTTCTCTCTACACTAGGAAGAGATGATAAGAAGACTAGCATTGCCACTGCACTATTCCTCTAATTACTGTGTAGGCATTGTCATTTCCATTTCATGCTTTTCAAGTGACTTTATTTCTAAACCATCCAGCAAACAAGCCACCACTGACGTTAAGCAATAATTATTCCCTCTACTTTCAGTGCGACTGGCACTTCTCCAGGCTCCTTTCCCCCCCCCCAAGTGACAAAAGATCCTACGGCAGGCACTGGGATAAGGATGGACAAGCAGCTTCAAACTGGGCCCTGGAGGACACAAGTGAGCAGAAGGAAGCATCACACCTGAAAAAAACAGGTCAGCTTCCATGAGGTAGGAGACAAAGGAAGTGGCCAACTGTAGAACAGCCTGTGAAGTCAAAAGAGAGACAGTGACACTGACAAAGGAGAAGGCTACAGCACTGGTGTCCTTGGGTGAGGCAGGCAAGAATAGCAAGGTTTATCTCTGCTGCTCCAGAAAACATACAGCTGAACAGGAGGGAAACACCTCTACAGAATTGCTACAGTTGAATTGCTTCCTCTCTCTGTAATTCATTCACTTCAACTGCAGTACAAGCACAGGAGCAATGTATTAATTCCCAACATGAAAGAAACCAACCAGGCTGGGTTTACTGAGATGTTTCAGAAAAACCAGCACGGCTGCCTCATTTGAAGATCCAGTTTGATTGGATTTAAACTAGTAACATAGAAAAGGTCCTTTAAAACTAACTGCCCTTCACTTGTCTGCCTTTCAAAGCTGTTCCAAGTACATACAGCGTAGTTCCAAGAATACATGCAGTGTTCTAATTTTTCATTACCATCTCACTCTTTTCATGCAGCACTCTCAAACCCAGATTTCCTTCTGCCTGGAGGTATATCTTGCAGAGTAACTCTGGGAACACAGCAAGGATTGATATCCAGAGAATTACCAGCAGCACAGCGAGCCTGCAGCTGAATGAGTGCTCTCCTGTCCAGCTGCCAGATGACTTCACTCAGTAGACACACTCAAAGCTAAGAGACTCTTTCATTTACCAAAGAATGCTCTTAAATCATGTTATTTCATTCTCATATTATATCTGCTTCCTCCCGAAAGAAAAGCGCTTGAGACCAATGACTTTCTTGTGGTACAATGGAAGGCAAGACAAGGCAATGCATTTCACTTTCACATGTCCATAGTCTTCCTCCACAGGGTACATCTCCTGTATGCAACATGACTCTAAGCCAAACACTTGAACTCCAGTAATAACAAGCACTGTTGCAATAAAAATATAATGCAACAAATAAAATGTTACATGCTGGAACTCTCCAGACAGAAATCTGGGGCTAGTTATGTGAGCAATTCCATCTCTTTGATCTCAATCTCTGGAACCAAATAAACTTCCCCTTTATCTTATCTATAGATTTGCCAGAAGTAATTAGAGATCTTGCATCTAGTTTCTGATGTTAAAAGCAGAATGGCAAAGAAAAACATGCCCTAGGAATAAACCTGCAGTATGACAGTCCTGAAATCTCCTTGTCAGCAGAAGTAGCATTAGGATTAAAAGTGCAACTTTCCACCTGTGTGTGTCTGGATAAGAGGGGAATAAAATGACAGGGCATGATTTTGTTGATGATGGCCTTCCCTGCCCTCTGGCAGAAAAAGAGGCTGCAACAATCCAGAAGGTTTGGCTGATCATGCAAACAGCAGGCATCAGTTTGGCTACAGTATACTGGAGTAGGGCTTATCCTTTCTGTGAGTGCAGACACAGAAAGATCTAAGACATATGTGGCTCAGAACAACGTGGTTATTGTGTACAATTCAGTGCTAAAACAAAATGGAGGAAAAAGCACTTGTTAAAAGCAGCTTCAAAGCAAGTGATCAGGAGTTGTGTAATATTTAATTGCAAAACAAACCTACAGAGAGTACTATAAAACCCCATCACCATCTCCACTGCAGAAGACACAGAATTGTACTTTTTTTTTTTAAATGAAGGGCAGTTGTGCTTACACTTTGGTGTATCATCTCCATGCGAACCTGGAACACTTTGTTGTATTCTGTTCCTGATAGACTGCTCCGAGTTGTCCAAGCTCTCTTGATCATCCTCCAAGGCACTCAACTTTTCTTCGCTTGAATGTGGCTTGTGGGGATTCTGAGACATTGTCAGTTGTTTCCTCTCAGGAAAAAAAAGAGAAAAAGAAAAAAGAAAGATTAAGAAGGGAATGAATAAGCATTTTATAACATATAAGGATTTATAATGTGGCTGAGTGAGAAAACATCTTCAGCTCTCTTGACTGAGAAAAAAATCGAGAATAAAGGAAATCTTATGAGGAACTGCATGATGTCATTCCCATAATGGCAGGGGACCTGGACTAAGTGACTCACTTCCCATCTCACACAGAAAGAGATGCTTTCAACACAGCTACCATTCACTTGATCTGTATTGCAAGCGAGTTCTGAAAAATCTGGAACTCTTCCCCTGCCTCACCTACTGCATAAAGATACTGAAAAAGATACTGAACGAGCAGTGAAAAACATCTTCCAAGAGTATTACAAACATGTTTGTCCAATTGATTATGCCAAATGAGGTATTTATCTATCATACACACAGTGAAGCATTCTGAACTCAACATCCTCCTGAACTGTGATCTGTTCCAACCGATCAGAACTGAAACGCCCTCGCTCCATGCTACCCACGTGAATTAAGCTGAAAAAGGACTCGGGGCAAATATCAAATCATTCTCCTGCAATTTCATTCCATGCAAGAGTCATGGTGACGCATGCTGGCGATACAAGAAAGATTTCTTAAAAAAAAAAAAAAGATAAATAGTAAATAACAGTAACAGCAGTTAAAGCACAGGCATAGCAGATGCTAAATAATGTCTATATTACATCACAAGCACTTGCAGCATAGTCCACGATGCACTGAAAAACTGAACACTGGAAAAGCATGTTACCTTCACTGGGTATACAGTCAGAAATAATCTACATATCTTACCTCTGAAAACTCAGTATTATACAGGAGGCTACCATTCTGACTTTGATTTTAGGAAAGGCTGTTTGACAGCATATGAGCTCTCTGGAGTAGAGAGTCAAGAAAAGCCTTCCAAAAAAAGGAAGCTCCTGGGAAAGCACCACCTTTCTCTGTCACCAACTGCCTACTTCTCCAGCAACCACCACTTTCCAAATACGAAAGAAAGAAGCTCTCAACAACAGATGCAGCTTCCAAAGGCACCTCGCAGCTACTAGAAGAAAAACACTTAGCAGTGTCAAGGACGCAACACAGACATAAACAAGCAATTACACAGGAATATAAAACGCACAGACGTTTTTTTCTCCATACAACAGCTGTAAGAACTAACCCTACTCCATCAGTGCTTCAGTGAGTGCACCATTCTGATTCTACAAGACAGCCAGAAGACTTGGCATTTAAAAAATGTTTTCCTTCTACAGCAATGACTCAGGATCATCGTCTGGCAACGACACACAGCAACACTTGTCTACAGCGATGCATGATTTTTATTTTAGACAAGAAAGTAGAGCACAAAAAGCATAGGATAAATCTATGCAAGAAATCTAAGGCATCAGCGCAGGTACTGTTAGAGGCACATATCAGCCTTCTGCTCTGGCACTCTGCTTGCACACAAGCACTGATGTCCCAGCTGTGAGCTCCCAATCCTCTCTGCACTCACAGAGCATCTCAGGCAGCACGGGGCAGCGCCAGTGAGTGCAGAGCTACAGTCCCATCGCCAGCCCAAAAGCTAAAGCACGCCGTGCTTCCCTCTGGGTGCAGCATCAGCTATCCAAATCAGCACAGCACAAGCGGGGCTGGATCTCCAACCTACACAACAGAAGGTCTGCTACTGCCAACGCTCCAGCAGCAAGATCCGGCAATAAAGAAGCCATTACAGGAAGACAACAGCAACAGCTGAAGCAAAAAATACGTGACAGGTGAAAGGGAGCAGAGAAACGCTCGAATCAAAGCATTTTCACAGGTGCTTTCAGTTTCATTCCGCTGGCCTCAGCCACTCTTCCCGCTCTCTCTCACAAGGCACGAAATGAAGATGGAGCACGGCGATGACTCGACTCCCCGACACACGCTTCGGAGCTCGGCACAGCCCTCCCGGCGCCGCCCTCCCCGCCCTTCACAACGAGGCGAGGCTGGGAGCTGCGGGAGCCCCGCCGGCCCGCAGCCGTTGGGCAGGCCGCCAGCCGTGCCGCCGGGCCGCGGCTTCCCCCACGCAGGGCACGCCTTATAAAGCGCCTTCCAGCCCAGAAGCCAGCGGCGTTACTGAGACTGACAAAAAACCCACCGAGCGGACAACCCAGCGGCGGGCAGCGGGCCGGCAGCGCGGAGCGGGGCGGGCGCACTTGTTGGCTCAGCCGCTCGCTCCGCAGCAGTCCATCCGCTGCCATCGTTCGCCCGCGTAAAAGAGGCCCGCAGCGCCTATTCCAGCGGCACGGCTTTCGTCCCACGCCACCGGCTGCCACGGCGCAGCCCGGCTCTCAGCAGCTTCCCCTAACAGCAGGAGCGCTAAGCGCGGCCCGAGGCGCCTCCGATCGCCTCCGCAGCCCCGACCCGCCGCCACGCCTTCCCTCACCCCCGGCCCAGCGGCCCCGTTTAGCGGCCCCGTTTTCCCGCCCCGTTCGGCGCCCCCGGCCCCGCCCCGCGCTCCCCGCCCCGCCGCCTTACCGTCGCACGCCGACCTCGCAGCGCCGCCGCCACGGCGTAGGGGCGGGCCGGGCCTCCTGCAAGCGTTCGCCCTACGGCCGCCCCGACCAGGCGGCCCCGCGCCCCGCCCCGCGCTGAGCTGCCGCCTGCTCCGGCCGCGTGCCCGGAGCGGCGCGAGCCGCCAAAGGTCCGCGCGGCAGTAAGCGAGGCAGCGCGCAGCACCGGCGCGAGGATGGGCACAGCCGAGGAGAAGCGGGCCTCTGAGGACGCCGTGCGTGTCCTCACACTTGAAACTGGCACTGGTGCCAGCGTGCGATGGGCCTACATACAAGTAAATCCGAAGGCCTTTCATTTGTTCCAGCTCTTTCCTAATTAGCGCGGGTAACAAGAAGCAAGGTGCTGCAGGAAGGAAGACCAGAGAAGTTAGGGCTGTGGCAATTGGAGCCAGACTGATGAAAAATGCAGTGTTGTAACAGCCCAGCTAAGTCAGCAGGGCACAGAGTGGGATTCAGCTGGGGAAAAGATGTCAGACATCGTCCATGGCACTTCATCAGCATGGTGCCATTTTAGTCTAAAACAGCTAATGATTTGTCATGTACACACAGAGTGTGGAGAGGTGGCAAGCTTGAAGAAAAGCAGGGGAAGGTAAAGCAGACGTTACTGCAGCTCTGTTACACAGACCTGTGGGTCACACATCAGCACAAGACAGTTTAGCTACAAGGCCAGCAAAGGGGAGCAGGGGACTGTAGGAATGGAATGTTGTTTCTGCATTAGATACTGAGAAGGGGGAATTGATGTGAAGAAGTAGAGCACAATGCATTTGTATTTTGTAACTTGTCCTTAGCTGATGTGAAAAAGTAGAAATACCGTATGTTAGTAACACGCTTCAGAAGTGTAGTTGCTGAATTACATGATTAATTCTCGCTTGCAAAACTGCAATAGTTTAAATCAATCAGTAGAGTATTATAGATTTCTATTATATATAGAAAGCATATTGTAGGGTTATTCTGTTTTTCTTTTACTGAGGGGCTTTTATCCAAACAGACTTAACAGACATCAAAGAAGCCAGGGCCTCTACACAAGGCTGGATTGCCTGGGATGCAGCAGGTAGGCATGAAGATAGTCCCCTCTGTTCTCCTTCCAAGCTTATCTCTATGCAAGGACAAGCAGATATCCAGAAACAATGACCGAGTGTTGGATGAGCAACTGTGAGAAGTTAACTAATTAGCAATATGCACTTAGCTAGCAACAATTTGTTTATCCAGTATCTATATGTTCAGTTGAGCATCTGGAAGATTGTGAACCTGAAGTACTCAGCCAATGAGGAACCAGGGGAGAAAGAGAGAAGCATCAAGTAATAGGGCATAAAAGATGTAAGGCTGTTTTCTGCATGTTCTCCTGCTTGCAGGAGGCCTGCCATTGCACTTGCAAATAAAATCTTTATCAGAGATACCGTCCTGGAAAATTATTTGGATATTTCCAACAGGACCAAACCTGGTCAGCTTACAGTTTGCTATCCAGAAGAGATCCCAGCCCTGAAAAGGTGTTTCCCATTTTAACGCTTCGATAGAAGTTGTCAATCTAAGCAGCTTCAAATGAGGAGAACAATAAGATAAGAATGAGCAAAGAACCGATGAAGCACAGGCCAAACCTGGGTACCACTGGGTTCAGTAATAATTTACTTGCATAAATCCCATCAATTTCCATAAAATAACTTTATTAGACATATGAATACAAATGATTTACAAATATATTAGTGTTTTCAATACTGCAATGTAGAAAGCAATTTAAAAGTCACACGCACATATTACTAACTCTGTCTCCAAAATACTGCATAAAAATACTTGGATTGCTACTATGAAACTGACCTAGCAGTCTCTTCTTCTCTTTGTCAGAGAGCTTTGAATCTTCATCAATAGCTTTCAGCAGAGATAATAGCTCATCTTTTGTGGTCTTCTCTGTATTCAAACGATACTCTCTTTCATCAAGCTTTTGGCAAAATGTGTAACCTAGGAGGAAACATGAAGATGATTAACACCAGCCAACCACCTTCCAGATTCCACAGACCCACCTTCCTTAAGAAGGAAATTTGTCTAGTCATTGTTACAGCAAGTATTTTTAACTCTGCTCAGTCCCTTTTATTTTGCATCTGTGTATGTGATAAGAAATTGTAAGATAACACTCACCTGTTATCTTACTAGGATCTTGGCCTTCCTGCAAAGCCACTAATTTATTGCTGACCATTTTATGCAGTGTCCCTGGGATCTTGAATGAAGACAAACAGCAGGTTAGAGAAAGCAATTCTGCACAAGCATATGAAATAGAAGTCTGGTCATTGTCTAGCTCTTACCTTTAAGACATCCTTTTGGTGGTCCACAAGGAACAAGATCAGAAGGTCCGTTTTCCCTCTGGATAAGGATTTATTGTTGATAATAGCTTTAGAGAAAGTTCTTTTCACAACCATCCTGTTGTCACTCTGAAGAATAACATGGAAGAAAAATGGGAAGGCTTTGCTCCTCTAGAATACTCTTCCTTGTAGCCACGTGCTTTCTGACCTACTTTCTGGGATATCTAGATTTCAGTAAATGTAAAGCAACTGATAACAGTTAAGTACACACATTTACCTCCTTCTGTAGTTTGAGCTCGGTGTTATGGGCAGCAACAGCCATAAAATACAGTAATCTTCTGAACTCCTCCCTGATTTGACTGTCTAGAAGTTTTAAATAGAGTTGAATAGCTTCTAGAGATTGTTCCATCTTCCCATTCACTGGAAGAAAATAATGGTATATGTAAAAATAAAATACAGCAACAGACAAAACACCTGAATTGGACACTGAAGAGTTCACTTCTCTAAACTCAAGAACGGAAAAAATCCATTCTCACAAAGTTCTCACAGGCACTCAATCTAGAGAGCAGCCCACCCCCAAACTTTTAGCCCAGTATTTAAGTTGGTGCACTTCCAGTTAAGCTCAATTACAGTTCAAACTCCATCCATTGTGGCTGAAATACTGAAGAAGGAAAGGCGTTCTGTTAGGCGAGAAGTGTCTCATTATAGACATCATCTCCCCATCTCCCAAGAAATACAGAGGATATCCTAGATAAACAGGCTAGTATGATGAAGTAGTTGCAAGCCATTCTGTAAAGTGCTACTAAGTTTTACTTTAATTGGCTGCAGTAGAAATTTTAGCTGTATCTATTTAAAATTGCACTCACCTTTTCTTTACTACATAGACAGGAGCAACAGAATATAAGTGCAAAGCGTTTTGTGTTGTGGGAATATCTTCTTTATGAACAGATTAAAAAACAGCTCTGCAGAAGGCAAGCTTTGGGCTTGGCTGACATGAAATGCTCAGCTTGTTAGTACCCACCTCGCATAAGCTCAGTAAGTCAATCTGTGCTCACCTAGCAGTTCTGCAATTCCTGAATGAATTTCAGGTGCGTGGCTCAACAGCGGCTCCTTTTTCTGGCCATAGTATCTACCAATATTTTCAAACAGCAGTAGTTTCCATGCATCAGCTTTATCCAGTTGATCGGGCAAGTTCCTGCTGATGTCTACCACCATATGGTCAGGAAGATATTCCAAGCAATCTATTGCTGATGAGAGCCATTCATCTGTCCTAAAAGACAAAGTGGTTCAACTCTCCAGTATTACTTACTGGTGCCTGTGGAGGTGGTTGGGCTCCACCACAGCAGTGAGTAGGCCAGTTTCTCAGTCAGTGGGCACCACATGGGCAAGTACTTGAATTCATTATGGATTGGCACAAATAACACTTCTGCTGACCCACTCGCATCACAGCCACATGTCCCTTTGTTTAGCTGGGCAGGTTACTAATTACTCATCTTGATTAAATGATAACAGTCAGAAGCAGTTAAACCTAAAGTTAGTGACGTCCTCTACTGTTATAGACAAGGACAAAATTACTGCTAGATAAACAGAAACCTGAGCCTTGATCTGATTCCAAGAGGCAAGGTTTTTCAGCCTGTACTTCTAAATGTATTTATACAGTTTCAGGATCAGCTTTCTTTCACTATTTTAAAAAGGCTAAAATGCTAATCCTCTCACTCATCCTGTTTGTTATTTTATTTTATTTTTTTTTAAAAGTAAAAACTGTAAAACTGTTTCCTCCCCCCCTCAGTACATTACACACATCTCCCTCTACATGCTATCAAATCCTGTAACAGTCTTCAAAAACTTCTTCCAGCGTGCAGCAGAATTTGCTTCCAATTCAATTTAGCAACTGCTCTTTACTACTGGGTTCAGTTTAACAGGTAGAAAGGATGTGAACAGGCACACTTGCCTACAGTACTGGAGACTATTACTTTTCTACTTAAGATTGTGAGTGACAAATGTATGCAACTTTGAAAAGCTTTCTGTCCTGAGAGGTGAGCAATGAAGACTTACTGTGAGTCACTGAAAGCCTTGAGAATCTCTCTGTCCAAGTAGTTGCTCGTGATGACATATCCAGAGTCCTTCTTTGGTTGTGGAAGCTGAGGCTTGACTTCCTGGTGCTCAAGCAAGGAGTCAAGGAGTGGAAGGTCTACAAGCTGCAGCAGACGAGCAATGGTTTGTTCTCGCCAGACCTCATTAATAACTGGAAAGGGTGGAATACACAAAACACACAGAGCAAGCGAGATAAAGATTAGGAAAA